ATAAACGATTAATTGGCTTCACACTTTGTTATAAGATATTATCAGGGGATTTAGGACCTTTTATTCACAATACTGTGGATTACATGTTTTTTTTTAACACTTTGCGCAGCTAATTGATGTCAAACCATTGTATTAAGAAGGAGCAATGAGACCATGTTCTTGAAGAAAAAGAGATCAATTAAGAAATTTAGGACTTTTAATTTTTTTACTCACAATGTGGATCACATTATTTTCTAATAGTGTGTACAACTAATTGATGATAAAAGAGTATGATGATAAGGCAATTAAACTTTTTTCTTCAATGCCAATATTTTTAATGATAAAAACAGGTGATAACAACTCACGGTTTTAATGTCGTCGACATCATTTTCAAAGTGAAACAGAAAGAGTTAGAATGAAGGATTTAGAGTCAGTTCAAGTTTAATGTGAGGGAGTGCAGGTAAACAAAAACTTTGGTACGAATATTTAATTTAGGCTTCCTTGCTTGAATGAGCAACATCTCGTGAATTAGGCAGTCAATCTTCCCAGTACATATTTTTAAGAAAGTAAAATGATTGCTCAGGTCAGGCCAATGATTTTATTGATAAACTCGTTTTTGCAGAAAAAAGTATCAAGAAATTAAGGACCTTTTGTTTCTTTACTCTCAAAACTGTGAATTACATGTTTGTGTTAACAATTTGAACAGATAATAGATGTCAAGTATTCGTGACACAATGAAACATTTTTCACATGGCAATTTTTTTTCTAAATAAACAGTTGTTTTTGCAGAAAAAAAGAACAAATAAACGACCACCGATTACCAAAGACTACCAACAAATGCAATGAAATCAATATACTTATATTTATCTATATATTTGGAAGAGGCAATGATTGCTTATTTCTTCTTCAAATCATAAGCTAGGGGTAGGCAAATGATAACCGACTAGGTAAGTCTGGGTTGTATTTATTTAAGTATACTTATCGTTTGAGCTTTAGTACAAATGGAGAAAAAAGAAGACTTTAGCAGTCACATCGCGACARCCGTTTACGTAAACTCACAAAAAAATTATATGAATGACCGAGGATAGATTTCTACGAAATGGGATCAAAAGTACTGRATTGATGCTGTATTTGTAATCGACAGGCATCAGGTTTATTGAAACTAAACCAAACGAGCAACGTGGGAAGTCTGGTGACTGTTGAACTGATTAATACTGGGTATGATTTGTACTATCAGGGCCCGGGTAAGAAGACTGGATAGCTCGATCCGACGGAAAAATCTTATCCAGTGGATGAATTTATTGGAAAACAGCATGGACTTATCAACTGGATAAGGATTTATCCTCCGGATAGCGCTATCCAGGCTTCGTACAACCGGGCTCAGCTGTTCAAAATGTCAAGCTAAAAAGATACGTACATCTATAAGATGAAACCAACCTATTCAATACACACAKGAAGTATACTGTCAAGAAAAAAATCTATTAATACTTGATATGATGTATATTGCGTTTTCTTCGTTCAGGATTAATTATGCTTACGATTTAATAAAAATAGTCGCGTAAAGCAAATTGAAAACAGTCTGGTTATGGCTAAGATCGCGAGACAGTCAAGTAAATTGAAATAAATGAACAAGGGTCTTACAGAATCGAATATCTCATTTTTCATTACGATGTTAGTTCAGTTGTTTGGTACCCATTTTGTTTACGTAAAGTTTGTAAGGTCAATTTCCTGTGCACAATAATGATCAGTAGAACCTTTGTTTCAATATGACTTCAAAAAAAAAAAGAAAAAAAAAACCTAGAAAAAAGCCTCAATATCTAACCGAAAAGGCAATTCGCAAAAACAGAGAAGGGTTAATTCTCGAATCATCTTCTAATAAAATGTTTCTAAGACATAGATTAACCACTGTCTAAAGGCTGAGACTCCTTTTTTTAACTCAGTTCAAACTTTTTCGTTTGCCACACATTTTCTTTCTGATAGCGCTCGGAACAATACTGCATTTACATTGTGTGAACGAATGTGAGACATACATATGAAAAAGAATGGATGAATAGCAAGAGGTTTAAGGGATGATTTAGTGCGTTCGATAATAACTTTACTAATATAACTAAAAGAAATCGATAAGAACTTTACTAATATTATAAAAGAATTCAGAAAAAAATCTGGGTYCAAGATGGTATTTGAACGCTAACTCGCGAACAATTTACACTCGGATCTAAGAATCATATCTATGTATATGATCTAAGAACAATAGATTTTCGATAACCTACAGTTTACGCAGTTTGCCTTTATTTGCAACGCACCATTGGAAAAGAAACTGTAAAACAGAAACACTATTAGCAAAGACTTGATGTGAAACGCGTTATATCTTTACTCGTAAAAGCATATACTTATTTCAATAAAGTTGGTCACCAAAAACCTAGAAAGCTGTGATCACTGAGGATCATGGGAAAAATTTCATATTCAACGAGTAAAGCTTTTGACACAAACTACAGCAGTTGAGGATGCTCAGAGGAGTTGARACTGTAACTGGTAGAAGATCTCAAGTCCATCAACAGTTATCAAGCGGTTGAAACAYGTAAAATGTATCTACCTATAATCCTTGCCGGTCTCAGCTTTGTAGCTTTTCGGGTGACTCGAACTTTATTGAAATAAGTGTATCAATATAGGGATGAATGCTTTGTATAGAGTTTAATCGACAAAAAAAAACTTATTCACTCACCTCTTGATTTTTCTAGTATCAGACGATCTYAAAAATCTATAAGGACCTATTTAAATTCATTTGGTCAGTGTTATCATTATTGCTAATCCACAGCCAGAAGCTCGACCGAAAGCCCTCAAATTGTCCAGGTGCATTTGAATTTAAGCTGTTGAAACTTGATTAGAAAAAAGTGCTCGCCGCAGGACAGTTTTTCAATCATATTATATTGTCAATTTTCAAACAATTTATGAGTTATCTTAGCGAGAGGTATAGTTGCCATTATCTAGGTAAGTAAGTAAGTAAATAACCTATTCACTATCAGAATGATGATTTGCATTGGAGAGACGTCCCTCAAGATGATGAAAGTGAGGAAAAAATTATCCATAAAATACTTCAATTACCATTATATCTAATTCTGTATTTTACTAAGTGAAGCACAAGCCCGAAAGGCCGTTCTGCAGCAATATAACTTTGCCATTACTTAGTTTACTTCAACTAATGAAATTTTAAGAGCAACTAAAATATTTTCTAACACTGATACTATAAAGTGATTTTTTAAATAGTGGTTGGGACATTTCGTTGCAGAGAAAAATTTACAATATTTTCTTTGTTTTGTGCCTGTATATGACGCCAGACACGCCCAAAGTTGTTGCCAATCATTTAATAACGGCGAGTATTCAAATGGACCGTTCGCTAACTCACAAAAGGTTTATGTAAAACCCAATTTGGTATTATGAGAGACGCAAATGGCAATGCTTTTTAAGATCAAGGACGTGTGAAAATATAGATTTTAGAAAATATCAGATGAGACCGAGATACATGCATGCCGTGTGTAAACATCTTTAAACTTCACCACAATCTGAATTGTCTTTCATTATATGGAGATAAAAATAAATAAATTAAAATGCAACGAGCTGCTTTATTACCGCCAAATTGATTGTACAGGAGAGGATTTAGTCCGCAAGTCGGCTAGAACCAATTAAAGTGGCCTCTCACGCTGAGTTTATGGAAGCAGTGGAATTAAAACATCTTTATCCAGGAAGCAGCGAGGGTTCTTACAATTATTACCATCCCAACGGGTTATCTATATTAATGACCGGGTATCGTATAGAAAAATATGTTTGCCTCTAGCTTTGCGCTAAAATTATACCATCGTATATTACACCGTCTGTTTCAGGTAACAGATTTAATATCAAATTTTGAGCACGTGGTTTTTAATGATCAGAACTCTGCACTACGCCTTGAATTAAAGCGGAGATTCTATTTCCCTATCCCTAGGAGAACTGCAAGTAAAAAGGACAACAATGGCATGGGTTGATTTTTTCGGTGTGTTACTTTTTGACTGAATTGAACATCTTTCAAGTAGAGCGGTATGCTTTACAAAAACTAAATTATGATAAACGCTTATCTTAGACCAGAAAATTATTTCAGGTGCTATATTTACAGCGTGKGCTCTATGGCTAACCCTTATCATGGCGCGCAACTTGAAACATCAATAGTGCAACTAAATACTGCATGGTTTAGTTTATTTTACGTCTATCGCGCGACCAAATGATTTTACAACTACATGAGCAAATACGCGTAACAAATAATCTACTATCTCGAGCCGCATCTGCTGCGCTGATAAAACTTGAAATCAGTCCAAATGGTTCCAGCACTTAAACCTCTTTTTCATTCCCAAACCAACTTCGGCCCCCTTTTGAAGAACCCTCCAGTCAGTGTTATTGTTTTCAAAGTYAACGGAGCTGGGCGGAATCTTTCACGATCATCATGATTTGCCGTCGTTTGAATTACATATATTTGATTTGCCGCCAAAACAAAAGCCTCTCATTTAGACGTCGGTACTACTGGCGGAATGAATGAATGTTCCTAGTTCACACATATGATTTGGATCGCATCCACTAATCGTAGCCTGCGTGCAGCCAGACTTTTCTCTCGTATAGTCCGTAGACGGACTTAACAGTCAGTTAGAGACCGGCTGCACGCAGGCTAACTCGTGACTAAGCTTACAGCTCAAAACAGAAGCTGCATCTTTTTCAGCGACAATCATGATGACAATATAAGCGATTTAACAGAACCCATAACAGAATGCATATTCCACTCAGCTATTCGAGTTATTCCTTTTCTAGAACGAATTAAAATCATAAACAGTACTCGTTATTTAATGACCTTACAAGCGTTGTCGCGTTTTACGGGGAAAAATCAACTCAGCCATTTTAATTCAATCTATCGGCTGTCTCCTTAAGTGGGTTGTAAAATCTATTAGGCTGTCATCCACCCTGGAGAGGTAAATGCAATTTTTAGATTTTTTGAGTTCCTACTGACCGGACCGATTCTGACCGCAGCCAGTCTAAAACAGACGAGGGGCTCGTAAGTGAGATTAAGTACTATTGTCAAACTTTTGACTTCGACAACGGCCTAACGTCCGAAACGTCAGAATAGTTACAAATATTCCTAAATGAAGCTTTATAATTTGAACTTCTAATTGATTTGTTGATTCAACACACCAACGCAGTCCCAACTAGTAACCGCTAGTCATTATCAACATTTTTCTGTTCTCCGGCGTCGGTTCTACACATAGTTATAATTTTTATGTACATAYCCTATACAAAACTAAACATACCTATTTGAAGACCCTGGTCAATCTTGTTCTAGAACGAGAAATAGCAATTCAGGAATAGACAAAGCARCCATAGTTGAAGAAATGTAGAACAAATGTGTATATCGTCAAACTAACCGAACGTTTATGCTACACTGATCTTAACTAGTGAAATTCAATGAGCTTCCTGTCAGCGTACGTCAAAATACTCCCGTCTTATCTATCCGCACTGTATGTTTTTCCTATTTTGAAATAACCAAGTCATCATAATAGCTTAAGCAACTAAGTATACTGGGAAGAGAAGTAACTTATTTCACAATTCATGTAATTCTTGTTCAGAGACAACTAGTTGCTTGGGATAATATTTGGTGGAAAAGACGTTTTCATCATAGAGTTTTATAATCCAGCTAAACCCGAAGGTCAAAGAGTGTGAATATAATATCATATTCGGGATGATACGTTACACCATACGCGGTTGAAAAGTAATTTATCTATTTATTTAAGAGTAAGTCTTAGTACGCGTGCCGATCTGCGACATGGAATGAAATATTTATGCGCGCGGAGTGATAAAAGTATCTAGCTCGAGTGCCAATCCTCGAACCGAGGAGTTCTAAATATAAGAACTGTGACAGTGAAAATCCTTACAAACACTGCAACTAAAGTTTTGATAAAAAGGTAAATTTGACACCGTGAAGAGGTGAAAAAACTGTTACTGACGTTTYGGAGGAGTAAAAGAGAATGAGGTGGTAGAAAGGAGTGTTTATATATTGCGTCCGAGTAAATTTTAAGTTAAGTTATGAATTCTATATACCCTTCAAGGTCAAGAAAAGCAATATAACCAAAAGTAAAGTCTATATTACGCATAACAAGTCGAGCTGGCGCATCAAAAGTGAAATTCGTAACTGTCAAACTGAGATCAAAAGTCTGCCTCGTGAAGTAACCAAATACTAGGTCAAATGGCCTCCTAAAAAAACAATCAAAATGCAGCGTTTTGTCATTAAATTCTGTTGCCAAAAAGTCGTCGCCACACGGGACCTTCAATCTTCATAAAAATGTTCAGTATAAGTGGACACTTGAAACACTTGAAGTACTCTTAAATGGCTTCCTCTTTTTTTTTTATAAACCTAACTACGTCAAATCACGATGCGCCGAAGAAGACACGCGTCGTATATCTCATATTTTTTGTTTTGTTCACATGGCTTCACATATCGTATATTAGTTTATATCAATCAGACTGTAATTTATAGTCTGCTGTTCGGAATTGAAAAGGGAGGAATTTTAATTTAGGATCGATTAGATAACGCGCAAGACACCTAAGGATTTAATATAATCGAGAATTTTAAGCTACAAAAACCAGAGAAACTGCGAAACTATCCGTGTGTCAACCAGTCGGCAAGCCCTCGAAGATCGCAAGAGGATTTGGGATGAAATTGCCTGAGTTTGCAAAAGTCTAGCGACACGAGTGAAAAACGTCTGCGCATGCTATGAATCCGTATGCAAATTAGTCAAAACGTAAGTAAATTTTGACTTTCAAACATGCCTGATAAATTGGGCTTCACAAAATGCCAAAACTTAGTGTCCATGCTTGAAACTTAAGGCAATTTAAAGTCTGACAAAAGTATACTTTTTTGTATTTGGAGAAAACTAACATTGTTAGTCAAAATTCATCAAAATTCTTAGAAAACGTGCTGAAGTGCACGCATGCGCAAACGTTTTTCTCTAGTGTCAACCCTATAAATAGTCTTAGTATAATGATGAGTTTTTGATTTGCTGATTAAATAATAAATAAATACTTTACCTTAATATATGCCCTTTTTGCAGTTGCAGGATGTCTTCAAATCATCAAACAAGGTATATGCGGTTTCAGTGTAATTTATAACTATGAATCAGTCCTATAAAAAGAAAATGTGAGATTAGATTATTGATAAAATAGGTAGATTATTCTTTGGAAGTTATCCCCTGGCAATATCAAATGATTATATATTTAATTAGTGAGTATAATTTGCAGAAAAAGAAAAAGAAAAAGAAAAAGAAAAAGAAAAAGAAAAAGAAAAAGAAAAAGAAAAAGAAAAAGAAAAA